GTAAAGGTAAAAAAAAAAAAAAAAAAAAAAAAAAATCCAACCTAAAATACACAGCTCAATGATTTACCACAAAGTGAAGAGTCATCTGACCAAGAAATATAACGTTGCCAGAACCCCTCATCCAATGTAACCACTTTCCTTATTTTGCCTCAGGCTTCTGTGATCTAAATGTGAACCCTAAAAACTAGGCTTTAGTTTGTCTGTTTTAAAAAGTTTATAAATAGAATCATATAGCATTCATTCTTTTGTGTCTGAACTGCCTTTGCTCAACATTCTTATGAGATTTACTCAAGTTGTTGCATATAACTGTGGTTTGTTCATTTTCTTTGCTATATGGCATACTATACCCGTGGGCTAATTAAGCCTCAGCCTGTTTTTATATGGCTTTCGAGCTAAGAATGGTTTTTACATTTTTGAAGTATTAGAAGCAAAAAATAAACAACAAAAATATGTGACAGAGACTGTGTGTAGCCTGCAAAGCCTAAAATATTTACAGGTAGTGTGTCAACCCCTGCTCTGTTCTATTGTATGAATATACCATAATTTTTTAATCCATTCTACAGTTAATGATCGATTTGGTTTCCACTTTTGGACTATGACAAATAATGCTGCTATGAACATTTTTGTACTTGTTTTTAATGTACAAGTACCTTGATGCATATAAATTTGGTGCATGGCTAAAATGATTATTAGATGAGGGTGTATATATTTGACTTTAGAAGATAATGCCAAAAACTGTTTTCCAAAGTGGTTATACAAGTACTTATATTCCTTCCAGCTATGTAAAAAAGTTGCCACTGCTCCACATTCCGTCAGCACTTTGTACTGTCAGTCTTTTTAGTTAGTCATTCTGGTGGGTATGCAGTTGTAGCCTAACTCGCATTTTCTGACTAGTGAGGGGGAGCATCTTTTTTATAAGTTTATTGACCACTGAAGTCCCTATGTCTCCCCTACCCATGTTTCTATTAGGCTGTCTTATTGATTGACTGGAGTTCTTGATATATTAAGCCCTTTGTTGCTTATATGTGTCACAAGTTTCTTCTTCTACTCTTTTTAAAAAATATGCCTTTTTGTTTGTTTTTGTGATTTGAGAAGAGAGGAAGGGAGAGGGAGAAAGAGAAACATCAACGATGAAAGAGAATCATCAATTGGCTGCCTCCTGCACGCCCCCTACTGGGGATCGAGCTGGCAACCTGGGCATGTGCCCTGACCAGGAATCAAACTATAATCTCCTGGTTTATGGGTTAATGTGCAACCACTGAGCAACACCAGCTAAACTTCTACTTTTTCTTAATGGAATCTTTTGATCAGAAACAGTTATTAATTTTAATGTAGTAATAATATATCAATCTTTACCTTTATAGCTAGTGCTTTTTCTGTATGAAGACTACTTTTCCTACCCTAAGGTCATGAAGATATTCTCTTATACGCTTCTAGAATTTTTTCTTGCCTTTTTACATAAACATGTATACACACACACACACACACACACACACACACACACATACATATATGTATGCAATATACTTAGACATGATTTTTGTGTATGGTCTGAGACAGGGATTGTTTTATATTTTTCCAGCATGATTTATTTTAAAAAGGCTGTTCTTTCTCTGCTGCTCTGCAATTTCCAATGGTTGGAAACCAAGTGTCCATATGTGTATAATCTGTCACTGGGTTCTCTTTTGTACTGCATAAGTCTATTTTCTGTACTTTCAATGCCATATGTCCTAATTAGAGTAAAACTTGACACTTGGTAAAGTGAGTTTCCCTATCTTGATCTTCTTCAGAGTGTTTTAGTTATTTTTGGTCCTTTGTATTATCATATTAGAATCAATTCCACACAAAAAACTTGTTACGATTTAAATTTGATTTGCACTCAAACTATAGTTATGCTGTCCAATATGGTAGCCACTAGCCACACACAGCCACTTGAGCACTTGAAATGTGGCTAGCCCAAATTGTAAGTGTAAAATGCACATTTTCAAATAAGTATGAAAAAAATAATACACACCTCTCATTCATCATTTTTAATGTTCACTATATGTTGAAATCATACCTTGGATATACTGGGTCGAATAAAATATATTACTGTAGTGTGCTGCTTAAAGACAGCAATGTGTTTTGAAAAATGTGTCATTAGGCAATTTCGTTGTTGTGCAAACACCACAGAGCGCACTTACACAAACCTAGATGTATGTATAGCTTACTACACACCTAGGATCTATGGTACAGCCTATTGCTCCAAGACTACAAACCTGTACATCATGTTACTCTACTGAATACTCTAAGCAATTATAAGACAATGGTAAATACATAGTGTACATAATTGTATGTGCTTACACTGGCATCATCACAAACACCTGAGTAATGTGTCACAACTACATTACAATGGCTATGATGTCACTAGGCAATGGGAATTTTCAGCTCATTATCTTGTGGGACCACCATCATATATGAGGTCTGTCATTGACTGAAACATTGTTTATACAGTGCATGGCTATATAAAAAACAATTAATTTTAATTTTCTTCTTACTTTTCAATGCTGCTACTAGAAAATTTAGAATTATGTATGTGGCTCATATTATATTCCTTTGGATAACACTGATCTATAGAACCCACATTTTTATAACACTGGGTCTGTCATAATATAAATATAATACAACCTTCCATTTTATTTTGGTCTTTTAAATTTTTTCCTGTAGAGTTCTTATATAACTTTTGCTAGATTTATCCCTAGGTATTTGATATTTTTACAGTATTATAAATAGCATTTTCTGTTGCTTATATACAGACATGAAATAGATTTTATTGATCTTTTATCCAGCCACTTTGCTAAATAAACTCTTATTTTAAGACTTTTTATGAAGATTTGGATTTTCTATGGACACAATCATGTTATCTAAATAATGACAATTATATTTCTTCCTTAAACCTTACATCTCACTTCTTTTGTTTGCTTACTGTGCTTGCTAGTAGTTCCAGGACAATGTGAACAGAAATGAAATAATAGGCATCCTTGTTATATGCCAAATCTCAAAGGTAAAGCTTTCAACACTTCATCATTACCACGAAGAAAATATGAGTACTCTAAATCTATTGAGTTTATTTGTATTTAAACTACATAATACTAATGTCATAAGATTGATGAATTTCTTAGTTCTTTTTTATACTATAGCACTCTAAAGTCTTTTTTTCCCCCTAGCTTGAAGCATTTACTTTTAAATCTCACCAAAACATATCTATTGGGGAGTACTTACTTAAGGATCATAGTCATTGTTTCTTTTCGATCTTTTCCTTGGAAAGGTAGTGTACCAGTGAGCATCTCAAACTACAAAAAGGCAAAATAATCAGCGGTATTAGTCACTACACATAACATCTCAAGGCCAAAAGGTAAAGAAACATCATCTTAATTACAACCAAATCTTCTAAAATTGCTATATAATAAGACATGCGATTTATATTTCTACTCTCTTCATTACTAAACTTCTCAAAAAGAGACACCCCAAACCTTACCATTAACACACCAAAAGACCACCAGTCCGCACTCTGAGTATGACCTCGACGATTAACTACTTCTGGAGCCATATATTCCACAGTTCCACAAAAAGAATACGCCTTCTTTTCATGGTCAATAGACTCTTTACTTAGGCCAAAATCTGCCAAAATAAATAGAGAATTCCTAAGTATCCTTTAATAATTTGCACATGCAAAGTTTAAACTTTGAGTTCCAATATTTAAATTAATTATTTAAAAATTCTGATCCAATACCATGATCAGCCTTAAAGGAAATTTATATAGAGTAGGAAGAAATATTTTAGTAAAATGAGGAATTTTACCTGTTAATTTGATGTGACCTTCTTCATCAAGAAGTATGCTGGAAAAAAGGGACAAAGTCAGAAAAACTTCTCAAACCACTGGAGATTTACAAATGCTAAAACTAAAATTACTTTACTAAGCATCAGATCACCACACTCATTGACACACGGATATCACAAATCCCAAAAGTAAAGCCTTATAAACTTGTGTTAATGAGCCAGAAGCACCAGAAAACTCACAGAAAAAGAACCAAAACCTATATGCTCCTCTAAGTTGCTCTTTCTAGTGCCTTTCTGCAGAGGTGGCCTAACTAAACTCCCTGGTACTTGCACAACAGACAGAGGGTCCACATATTTAGGTCAAATGTGTTAGAGTGGTCATTCTTGGTCATTTTTAAGGCATCTGACTCAATCGTTCTTTCCTAGCTTCTTTTCTGACACAACCAACACAATCCTCCTCTCCTCAACGCTCCAGTGTTTTCAATAAACGGTATTTAGAGGAAAGCATTAGCTCTAGGCAATACCTCACACTAACAAATTTCTAGATGGAGTTAAAAACAAGAAAAAAGAAACTACAAAATTAGGGGAAAAAATCTGATCATTGGATTGGAAAAGTGTTTCTAAGAATAAAAGTCATAGAAGAAATCATAAAAGAAAAGACTGATAGATCTGGCTGAGGAAAAAAAATACTTGTGTAGGTCAAAACAACAAATAAAATGAAAAGATAAACTAGAAAAATGTATTTGCAATATACAGCGTGGGGCCAAAGTAGGTTTACCGTTGTGAGTACACAAAAGTTTATTCTTGCATTATTATTTATACTTGTATTATTTTCCATATGAACAACTGTAAACCTACTTTTGCATCACCCTGTGTGTCAAATGGTTAAATTCTTAATTTGTAAAGGTCTCTTACAAATCAATGGGAAAAAAATAACATTTCACAAGGCAAATGAGCGAACGTCATGAACAGAAAAATCACACAAAAATACAAACATATGAATACAGATTTCAACCTCATTAAAAATCAAAGAATAAAATTAAAGCAAGATAACATTAGCAGATATTTAAAAGTATGAGAATACATAGTGTTAGTAGAAATGTGAAGCACAGGGACTCTAATGTAATGCTGTGGAAGTTCTATGAAGGGATTTTATTTTTTATTATCTCCTAAACAATGATATTGCATTGGATTCAACTTAGAAGCATGATTCCTTACTTTTCTGGTTTTAAGTCTCTATAGATTATTCCCAGGCTATGCAGATGGTCTAAAGCAAGTGCAAGTTCAGCCAAGTAGAATTTGACATCTTCTTCTGTGAACATCACCTAAAAATAAAATAATATTTTTTCTGCCTTTATTTTCTTTTTGTCTGTAATTTTCATTTAAAGTTCTATCTCAAAGTTTAAATATTCAAAAATTATAAACATACTATTACATGTAATTTTGCCCACAATTTACGTATAAAAGGATTTGCAAAAATTATCAGTCAACTAATTACTAAGTGCTAAATGTGCACTGTGGGAGAAACAGTTTTGCATTTTGGTAAGTAACAACTATATTAAGATTGTGTCATTGTCGCCCACCACAGTAACATCTTAGAAATGAAAAGTGATCTTTATAATGCATGCTGAATATCCACTACCAATTGTTTAAGGATATCTTGTTGATATATTATTGCTTCTGAAAAAACTATAACTAAAAGCAGCAGGATGAAAGACCAAGATAATGAATCAATTTAAAGTCCTATTTTCAGAATAAATTCAAAAGGTGGAAAAAGAACTCTTTTGGCACTAATTCTTCAATGTAAGAATCTTGTGTCACTAGAGAAAATATGATAAACATAATATTGAAATATATCAAAGCTTTAGTTGAAACAGAATGAGTATAAATAGATTAAAAATAAAGATTAATTATATACCTCTTTGGATAAGCGTGTAAACAAATCTCCTCCCCTGAGAAAATCCAAAATAAGATACAACTTCCCTTCAGTTTGAAAAGCTGAATGAAGAAATGAAAATTTTTGTTTAATCCACCACAGTTTATTTTCTTAGGCTTATATTAGTTAAACTCATTCACAAATTATTTTTAGCAAATTAATAATTATATCATAGATCTAAACTGATTTTTATTTTGAAAATAACTACTGATTTCTCTTAGTTTCCATGTAGAAATGTTAAATGCAGTGTTTCTATGAAACCACTAGAACATTTGTTAGATTTTCTTCAGGCAATAGTCTCTCAGGAATATGATAGTTTTACAACATATGATCAATAAGAAAACGTCTCCAAAGAAAAAGACTTACTTTAACATGAAACAAAATACAAAAACACCTCACTTTACTACAGAAAAAATGTGGGTTGGTTAGGTTTAATTACACATAATAAGAATCAGCATACATTCACCCAATGAGAAAAAGTACACATTTATTGCCTCTCTTTCCTTTGAGGGAAAGAGAGGCAATAAAAATTTCAGAACATTGGAGATCTTTTTTGTTTTTAAGTTAAGCTAACACATATGGGCTAAAAAAGGCTGGTACATTATTATTAATTAATATAATAAAAAATAATTATCACCTGTTACTACTCAGGCACTATAATGTTTAAAAAAATACATAAGCTAAATGTGATAGAAGTTTCTAAAGTGTGTTTAAGTAATGATCTAATTTCAATGACTTTACTATATGTATCTGCTAACCACATAAACATACACAAATATTTAAACATATCAGCATATCTGAATGTACTCAAGGAGTAGGGATTGAGGTGAAGGAGTGAGGTGGGAAGCGGTTTATAACTTACCATAATGCAACTTGACAATAAACGGATGATTAACTTCTACCAAGATATCACGCTCCATTTTTGTACGAACACGGTCTCGAACTATAAAATATTGTACATATGGCTACATTATAATAGCTTTCAGAGACAATCTTTAAAACAAAATGTCTTTGGTGGATACTTTAAATAAAACTGTTCTCATATGTATAAAAAAGTAAATCACATTTTATATATTTTACTCTTGAATTTGCAAAATTAATAACTATAGTTTTACTGTTATATAACCAGAAGAAATTGTATATATTTATAAAATCTGTGCTTCAAGTTAAAAAAACACAGAGAACATATTTGATATTGGCTTTAAAATCAAGTTTACAAGTATTTTAATCAAAGTTATGAAAAAACCCAAAAAACAACATTTTAAAAATGAGGAATCCCAATGAAATATTAAAACATAAGAAAGGGAACAGGTTTCAATACTCCTACCAACCCTATCGACTCAACAAACATTCATTAAGCATCTAGAACATGTGGCAGACATAGGGAAGGATGGATATACCCCAAAAGGTCTATTTTGAGGGAGAGGGGAAGAGAGGGAGAGGATACTGTGGTGCAGATGATAGAGCAAAGACTTTTTAGAGTTAAAGAGATCTGAATTTAGACTGTGTAATCCTGAGCAAGTTACTTAAACTCTCTGAGCTTCAGTTACCTTTCATCTATAAAATGGGGATAATACCGCCACATATCTGGGGGATGTGTGACCATTTGAGATAAGGTCTGTACATCCCAGATCCTGATATATAAGAGATATTCAATTAAATGGTAGCTATAATACCATGGATATGATAAAGAGGTTAAATGATTTATTGCCATCAGTAAGTAGTACAGGAATTCAGAGAAAGAAAAGATAAGTGTTACTTGCATAAGAAGGCTAGAGGGAAAAGGGAGGGTTAGGGACTTTTGGAGTGGAATTTAGTGGGTGGGAAGGAGTGGGCCTGGAGAAGAAAAGTCCAGGTATGGGGTACCAGGGCAAGCAGGGACATGGAGGCCTGCATGATGAACAGGAAGGGTCAAATCAGTGTGCAAAGTGTGGAGGTGAATTAGGGAGGATACAGATTCTGGACAATTTGAAATGCCAGGAAGAAGTTACATTTGACCCTACAGGCAGTTCTCTTTTACTAACCAAACATTTCCTGAGTAATCTGTGCCAGGCACTATGAGACAAATACAAATAAAATAATGCTTAAGAGGCTCACAATCTGGTGGGAATAACAGACTAGTAAATAAATGATTACAATACATTTGACAAGTACTATAATTGTGTTGGTAGCTCAAAGGATTTAAGAGGTGAAAATGATCATTGATTAAAGTTTTAATTTTTTTCTGTTGCATAATAAGAATAAATCATAGATAACTTCTATTTTTCAGGCCAGAGTGACTAAAAATGGTTGTGCCAAAGATTAAATAGAAAGAATGGTAAAGAGAGTCTTTTTGGGAGGTCAGAGAGAAAAATGAATTGGTTTTCTTTTCAATTTAAGGTGACCCCAGATATTTAAAATACAGAAATAAGACCTCTGGGAAAAATAAACAAGCTAAAAAAAAAATCCTGTTTCCCATTCTACTAGTTTTCCACTTCCAACTGGGGAATTTTGGTGCCTGTGACTGAAAATGGTCAAACCAGGAAAAGAAACTGATTGCTCTCAATGTCTATGTAGCTCTTTTTCACTGACTTGTCCAGCTAGTGTATCAAATTCAATACCAACCTCTGATTTCATTATCTTGTCCTATCACTACCACTTTGGTGTCTGATATCCAACAGGTCCTTTCTATTATTTATGTGAATGAAGTTCATCACCTAGACCTGCAGATAATTCTGTCCCAGTCTAGCCTAAATCTGCCCTTTTTCCATTGCTACCCATACAACCTTGGATTGCATTCCTATTATCTTAAAGTTGGATTCCAAATTTCTACCTCTTTAAAATTATACAGACCTTACAAAGCTTATCACTTAAAATTCACTCCTCTGTTCAGTAAGCAGCAAAAATATCCATCAATATATTTACTGTATATCCCTCTTCTATTATTCTATCATAATGAAAAGATTAATTATTTGGGGGTCAAAAGCTATAGTTTAATGGTTGTGCTAATAACTAGATGAGTTACCTTGATCAAATCCTTTCACTGCTTAGGGACTTCCTGCTACCTTCTCTATAAAATGAGAGGCTAGAACAAGATGATTTCTTTCTATTACAACTATCTTATGAGATAGTTTCCTTATATGTAACACTGATGAGACTTTGTTTAGTTGAAAATGTGCAGTGAGATTCACTCACTAAAGAACTCCTTCACTTTGTCTGAGGCAGGACTATATAATAATTATAATTTTGTTTCTTTTATGCAAAGACATAGTGACAAATAAAAATCATCCTATAATCAGGAATTTTGATTAGAATATACTGGTTCCGAAGAAGGCATGTTTTATGTGTTTATCATATGCCAGTTAAACCTCAATAAAGCTACTTTCTTTTAAAAGTTTTGTCAATTTTTAAATTTATTTTTATTGTTTAAATTTTATTTCTCAATTCAGTTTACATTCAATTACATTCAACATTATTTTGTATTAGTTTCAATCAATAAAGCTGTTTTTAAAATGAAGAGAAAAAAAAAAGGTATGTTTTATATTGGTTAAACTCTAAACCCTAATATAAAATTTGTTAATACTGACTTGTGCTGGCGAAGCAACTACATTCCTCTGAAATAATTTTTCTCATATACAAGTTATTAGTTTTTGAACCCTCCTTGACTTGAACATGAGAGTAAGCAAGAAGTGCTGTTTATGTTTCTAGTATGATGTATTAAGAAACTGCTTTAAACAATGGTTTACAAAACCTTTTAGGCCCAATTACTACTTTATTAGGACAAAAAATTCCCATAAGCTCAACCTAACGCTATTGACTTTTATTTGACCCCATTTATTTTATTAATAGGAACTTTAAAATGGAAAGAGACTTCTGGTTAAACATGGGTGTTCTACTTTCTACTTTATTCCACAACACCACTGAAATTACAATAATAGAAAAATTATGCACAAACTCACAAAGACAGAGAACAGGAGAGGAAGCAGTAGCAGAAGATGAGTAAGTGGTAACTCACACAGCAGATTAGAGAAAGCTAAAATCTAAGCCTAAGGGAAGGAAGCCAATGAGTAATAAGCAAATTCTTGCCATTGAATCCTTTCCAATCAGCTTTTTTGTTCCTCACTCTTCAGTGAGGAAAAGACAGCAAAGGATCTCCAGGCATTTGAGGAAAGGCTCTAAACATGAGAAAGTTATCAAAATAAACAGAAAAAACCCCCCACATGAATAAAGTAAAAGAAGGACAATGTAAAGAACAGAAGAAAACTTAAACAAAACAAAATTCAACCTTGTAATTTATATCCACCAAGAGAGCAAAGATCATATGGCACCAACGAAATAAGAAGCTTTAAAAGAGGTATGC